GTATCCGGCCCACCTTAGCTCAAAATGACATCTTTGCATTTAGCAATTTAAAAGAGGTCTTTTGCAGCAGACTTGCCCAACGCAATATATTGCTTGATTTCTTGACTGCTGATTCCATGAGCATTGATTGTGGATATAAGTAAAATGAAGTCCTTGACAACTTCAATCTTTTCTCCATTTATTATAATACCGCTTACTGGTCCAGTTGTGAGGATTTTTGTTCTATTTATGTTGAGGTGTAATCCATATTGAAACTTGTAGTCTTTGATCTTCATCAGTAAGTGCTTCAAGTCCTGTTTACTTTCAGCTAGCAAGGTTGTGTCATCTCCAAATCGCAGTTTCTTGAGTCTTCCTCCAATCCTGATGTCACATTCTTCATGATAGTCCAGCTTCTTGGATTATCTGCTCAGCATACAGATAAAATACATATGGTAAAAAGACACAACGCTGACACACACCTTTCCTGATTTTAAACCATGCCGTATCCCTTTGTTTTGTTCAAATGACTGCTTCTTGGTCTATGTACAAGTTCTTCATGAGCACAATTAAGAGTTCCAGAATTCCCATTTTTTGCAGTGTAATCTGTGATTTTTTTATGATCCACATAGTCAAATGCCTTTGCATAGTGAATAAAACACAAGTAATCATATTTCTGGTGTTTTCTGCTTTCAGCCAAGATCCATCTGACATCAGTGATGATCTCTCTTAATCCATGTCCTCTTCTAAATGTGGCCTGCATTTCTGGTGTTGTGATCCAAACCTTCATTCTTTAAGGGTATGGGCATGAGTAGTCCTGTTGGATTGGACTGCTGTAGTTTTCCATCGACTTAATCACAGCACATGGTAATACTAAAAGATGCCCCGAAGGGATGTCCTGTATTCCAGACATACTCTTCTTTACCTCCATCATGTAATATCAATCCTATTTCCCCCCATTAATCAGGATCAATCACATCAGCCAATATGGTAACACCATTCTTAGCCTGTTGATCCAGAGCCATGAAAAGCTCAAAGTGGCAAGGTGACATTCTTAATGCTCAGTGTTGTGTCTCCAGGTGGAGGCATTCCTCCCTTTGGAACTAAGATCTCCAGTAGTGATCACTAGGGTTAATAATGAGTGGTACCACTCACATTTCTACCCCTTGATTCTTGGACCCACGAATCTTGGCTAAGGAACAAACAACATGATGTACTGCACACTGGTTCAGAGCATATACAATCTCCTGGAGAACACTGCCCCACCTTGCAAAGTACTATCATGTAGCTAGCGCCATAATTGTGACTTAATTCATTTAGGGCAGTTGCCACCGTCAAATATGACTCACACATAATAGTAATCACAGTAGTCTTCAAGGATAGTGGGCTCCCTTCACAAATTTGCTCTTTACTGTTGTGGAGAAAGGTGTATCCTGTGAGCACTCCATAGGCCGTGTGTTTTCTCTTTGCCACTTTTAGGAAAATGGTGGAGGAAGGAGGCCTTAAAAATGAACTGTGCCAAACGAAAACAGAATTTAATGATTTGGAAAATTCTGTTGTACAAACTAAGGACACAGGTCCTAGAATGTTCACCAAGGAGGTGGCCACACAATCATTTATTAAAGAGATTAAACCTATTGACTGACGGATCTAATGAACTACCACAGCAGAAAATGTGTCAGTTTAGGCTGAAAAGACAGAGAAAGAAAAGACTCCTATCTGGTACTTGGAATTCTACAGGCAGGAAACAGGCCACCAGATGTACATCTGCTGTCCTCCAAGAAAAGGAAAGGATGGTCCCTGGAGCAGCTTCGAGACCAGAAGAACTACTGGAAGGAGCAAGAGAAGCAGGGCCTTCTCAGTCTCATAAGATGGGGCCCCCATTTTTGGGATCTCAAAAGGGGGGTTCACAGCCTCTTAGGTTTCAAAGGGTTGAATCTTAACCCTCTCAGTTCCAGAGTGTGGGGCTGCCATTTAAGGTGTGCCAAGAAAATGGGGCCAAATCTCAAGGAACTGAGTTGTCATCCCAGTGAGCCTGAAAGGTAGAGGCAAAGCCAGGGCCAAGGAGCCTCTCTACCCAGAATTGAGAAGGTGGGGCCATTGCCTAAATGGTCTCAGAGAACAGGATTATTTTCAGGCTTCGAGAGCTAATGTAATTTGTTCTAGGCTTCACACTTGTTGGGTGCCCTTCTTTCCTTCCTATGTCTCCCATTTGTAATAGGAAATGTCTATCCTGTGCCCGTTTCACCACTGTATTTTCGAAGCAGATAACCTGTGTTCTAGATTTCACAGGTTTGCAGATGAAGGGGAATTTTGCCCCAGGATGAAATATGTTGAACATCTCACCCATATTTGATGTAGATGATTCAGAAGATGAAACTTTGGACTTGGAGGTGATTTAATACCTTGGGGATGATGTCATGGGGTGAATATGTTTTATATGTGGTGAGGACATTACTTTTGGGAGGACAAAGGGTGGAATATCATGGACCAAATTGTGTCTCCCCCAACCCCCCCCGCCAAAAAAAAAAACATATCCTCATCTTTATGCCTGTTGTTATGATCCCATTTGGGAATGGGTTGTCTTTGTTATGTTACTGAGACAGGATTATTATAGGTTGTGTCTTTAATCAATCTCTTTTGAGACAGAAAAGAGATTAAACAAGCAAACTAAAGAAGCAGAAATGGGGAAAGATTTTTGCCAAGCTACGTAGAGATCTCCAAGGAGCCAGGAAACTAAAAGAGCATACAGAAAAAGTTTTCCTCCCTTAGAGCTGGTACCCCAAACTCAGATTTCTAGTCTCTTAAACTTGAGAAAATAAATTTGCTTGTGAAAGCCATCCACTTGTGGTATCTCTGTTGTGGCAGCACTATATAACTAAATGAGGAGCTCTGATGGTGTAGCGGATTAAGGCATTTGGCTGCAGACCAAAAGGTTGGCAGGAGAAAGGGCAGTCTGCTTCCATAAAGATTTATATCTCTGGAAACCCAACGGGGGTTGCTATGAGTCAGAATTGACTTGATGGCAGTTTAGTTTTTGGTTTAGATACCCAAGACATAGTAGCATTACTTTGTCACCATTCTGTCATGTGTGTAATTTGCCTCAAGCATTCAATAGTGGTTTTTCAGTTGCCTAGGACACAGCCATTAAGGGAAATACTTTAAACACCTTTTTCTGCAAACTAGTAACATGTAGTCTGTGTGCCTCTCTGACTGAAGTATCTTGGTACTAGAGTAACATTCAAAGTAGAAAAGATACTAAGTTATTTTTGTGCCTAGCCTAAGTGCTTTTTTGAGAAAGATTTTGGAATGATTTGCAGAGCTACATGGTAAAGTCCTCCCTCCCCTTTTATTGGAAGTTCCTTTAAAATCTTGCCTTGTCTCAAAGAGCTGCTCTTTACAAAATGATATATATGGTCCACAAATAAACATTAATAACAAAATTTCATAGAAACCTAACAAAGATATAAATATACATTCTTTCCTGCCATCTATAATATTGTTTTGGCCCTATATCTTTATCTGCTTTTATCCATTTTCTTCTCTTGCTAAGAAAAACATACTTTAATAAAGAAAAGTGATACTTCGTCAGTTGATGAACACATTCACAATACAAAAATGAAAACTTTCAGGTAAAATTTGGGATTATTAGGTTAGGGTTACAGGTGACCAAAAGTTAACAGTGATTCATCTCAACACTAACTTAAGACAGTTCACTAAATTACAAAGCGTAATGCACTTCTAACTTGTGACTTCACACTTGCACTATCAAGACCAACAGTGTTCCATTGTCCATCATTTAGATTTATTCGTAAGAAAAAAATCCAGGAGAAAAACATATTTGTTTAAACTTTAAGGGGATCAGTATTTTTTTTTTTTTTTTTCTAGTAATAGACACATTATACCATCAACAAATAAAGGAACTGCTTAGGCTATTTCTCTGACTCCTTTAAGAACTGCTTTAGGATTTTTCTTTTGGCTTTAAAGTGGGATCACTGAAATATAGATATTCTCTGAAGCACAATTACTTAGAAACCACTCTTTTGTGCAAAGGGAAGACATCTTACACAACAGCAAAAAGGTTAAATATGTTTCACCTTAAGAAATTTTCAAAGGTAGGGGTAACTTATATCAATTCAGACTTTCTATTGCATGAAAATAACATTCATAAAGATTAATTAGGGCTAGCAATTTGTTAAATTTAACACTTTTCTCAAAAACTTACCACTGTCACACTGTACATTGGGAAAGACTCTTCAGATGCAGTGACAATCCAAATGTTTATCAACCTTGTGAACGATGAGTATCCTATTAACTCAGTCCCAAATATGAAAGCAACAGAAAAGATCTGACTATTTATTTAGAGGCTACGCAAGTGCATTTGAACATATCCAGCCTTTAAAAATACCAAGGACTGTATATATGCTAGTACCACTGTCTGCTTTTGCTTAATACAGTAAATTCTAATTAAAGTGTCTTATGTTTGTCTACAACGGCAAAGCGAAATCTCCACTCCCTGGCCTTCAGATGATCTCCCTTCTCACAGGACTAAACATGAGTGCTCATGGAGGCTGGCAGGATGGCAAAGGATGTACCAGGAACTAATAATAATCAAAAGGACTTGTTTCAATGGCATCTAGGCCTGTCACGTTCTTAAACATTAATCAATCAAGATCTCTTTTACGCTAAAAAGGATGGTCAGAATTCAAGGGGACTTGAATAAATAACATGTATGGCACCACTTCCCTCTATTACTGTGCCTAGTTCTCCTATTGTAAAACTCAAAAATGTGACATTTCTTGTGTATACAAAGTTACCAATGTAGTTCTTTAAAAAGGCAAATACATACAATCAAACATAATAGAGGCTACAATAATGTGTACAATATGCTCTATACAAAATAAAGAATTAGACTTTGAGCACAAGCAAAAATTCGAGGTTAAATTAACAAACTCCTTAAATCAATAACTGGTCCCTTTGATCTTAGCAAGCACCTTTGCCTTGTGTGGTTTGTTTGTTTGTTTTAGATTACTAAAAGCTTCTTTTTGTATATAATAATCTCAAGAGAAAAATCTTCACCTGCAAATATAAGGTAGAATTTGTTTTCACAGCTATAGGCTGTAGCATTGATTTCTCCAAGTATCAATGGAGAACAGAAAATATGTACACCGCTGCTAATTCCAGATCCTAAGAAAACTGTCCCATGAGCCTGTTGCCACAGCCATGCCATCATCAGTTACACCTAGACAGCTGACACGGTTGTCATGACCAGCAAGGACGCCTAAAAAAAGAGAAAGGTTGAGTAAAACGTGTGTACAGTTTTAGAATTAAACAATTGTTTAACTAAGAGCTCTCTAGAACAATACTTAAAAACTAAAAAGGCTTTTCTGAGGGGAGGAAATGGAGGATCAGGAGTAAGCTGAACACATACTTAAAATTCTTAAGATGAGTACCAGTTTATGTTTTAATTTTTGAAAAGTTATTTTATATTTAAATTTGGTTACATCTAGGAAAACATGTGAATATTATTGTCCATCTCTAATAAATTCATTCTATATCATGGTCCAAATTTTGCTACTGAGCTATGCTATTTTCTCTAAGACTACAACAAAAATTTATGTAACGTTCAATGAAATAATATTTTACTAAAAGAACCACAGAAAAACGTAAGAATGAACTTGCCTTCTATCATCCCTTCCAAAAACACCAACTTAATTTATTTACTTTCTTCTTCTATCAAACACTGGACTAACTGTGACAGATAAATCATGGCTAGTTGTAATTTTCTGAAACCTTCAAACACATCTGATTTTAGTTTATTTTACAAACTAAAGTTAAACTCAGGAGCTCTGGTGGTGTAGTGCCTAAGGCATTTGACTGCTAACCAGAAGGCTGGCAATTCAAACCCACCAGCCACTCTTCAGAAGGAAGACTGGGCAATCTACTTCTATAGAGATACCATACCTCAGAAACCCAAGGAGGGGTTGTTAATGAGTCGGATATGACTCCACGGCAGTGAGTTTGGTTTTTTGGTTTGGTAAAGTTAACTCACTTAAATCTGATCACCACACAGAGAATAAAATGAAATATTACCAAATATTTGGGAATAAATGTAAAAATTACAAGAAAAATTGTTACCGTTTATAGGTGCCATTGAATTTATTTTGAGTCAGAGACTCCATTTGACAAGAGTATAAAATAGAACACATCAAATTCCAAAGAATTTTTTCCTCAATATTGTGTTTGACTTAGAATTCTCTCTCTATAATTAAGCATATCACTGTCATTCAGTATCAGGAACAGGAGATCACCCTGTCTATCCATTAATATTCTCTATAGTACCTCCAGTATAATAGTTTCACGCAATGGGTAAATTTCCCACTACAGAGTGAAATAACAAAAACTGACTACTATGGCTAAATATTCTGAGTTACATTGGAGAGGAAAATCAATTAGCAATTCATGAATCAAGTTCAACTATGAGGTGAAAGTTCCAGTTGTGTGACCTTGAAATCAGATGTAAGCAAAGCAAAACTAAAGTCATGCACACAGAAGACAAACACACTTTAATTCTGTTACAGATACTTCTTGGTTCAATTTAGGCAAAGCATGTAATATCTTCAAAAAGTAATTGGCTTTTTCAAGTGGCCAACAAACATATGAAGAAATGCTCACAATCATTAGCTATTAGAGAGATGCAAATCAAAACAACAATGAGATACCATCTTTCTCCAGCACTAGTAGCAAAGTTCAACAAGACAGAAAATAACAAATGCTGGCGAGGTTGTGGAGAGATTGGGACTCTCATACACTGTTGGTGGGACTGTAAAACGCTACAATCATTGTGGAAAGCAGTATGGCGATTCCTTCAAAAGTTGGAACTAGAAATACCATTTGACCCAGCTATTCCATTACTAGATACATATCCTAAAGAAGTGAGAGTCATGACAAGAACAGATATATGCACACCCATGTTCATTGCAGCACTATTTACAACAGCCAAAAGATGGAAACAACCTAAGTGTCCATCAACTGAGGAATGGATATCCAAACTATGGTACATACACACTAATGGAATACTATGCAATGCTAAAGAATAATATAGAATCTGCAAAACACTGCATAACATGGATGAACTTGGAGAACATTATGCTGAGTGAAATAAGTCAATCACAACAGGACAAATTTTGTATTAGTCCATTATTGTAAAAGTCAAGGAAACGTTTATCTATGGAAGGACACTTTCTTTGTTGGTTACCAGGAGTGGGAGGGGAGGGGAGGGAACACTGTTAGACAGATAGAAGTTTTGATTTGGGTGAAGAGAAGGGCAATGTACCAAATGTGAGTGATCAATATAGTGACAATGAGGAAGAGAAAGACATAGAGAGGTACGTGGGAAATATAGACAATAAAGATGAACCCTTTTGCACATATAATATGGCGTTGTCAGTGAAGGCAAACATGGGTATATGGGTGGATAGATGGGTGGACAGGCTGAACTATTAGGTATGTCTATGAAGAACATGTATAGTGTTGGCAGACAATGGTCCTACAACTTTATGTGTATGATCTGAATTCCCAGTTGTATAGTGGAGCTGACAAGGGGCAAGGTTATAGTCACTGCTTGGTCACAGCCAGCTACCCAGAGGGACTGAGTTGTTGAACCTGTGGGCTTAGGACCATAGTTGCAGAGGACATCAAGCTCAATTGGCATAACATACTACATAAAACATTGTTCCACCTCCTACTGTGGTGAGTAGTGACTGGGATCTTAAAAGCTTGCAAGCTGCCATCTAGATGCAACGATGGGTCTCTCCTTGTCCAGAGCAAAGAAGAATGAACAAAACCAAAAATTCATGGAAACAATTAGTCCTAGCAACTGATACACCATCTGATCTGCAGCCTATATGACTATGAGACCAGAAGAACTAGATGGTGCCTGGCTACTAGTGTCAACCACTTGGAAGAGGATCTATGTAAGAGGTCCTGGATAGAGAGGGAGAACAATGTGAAACAAAACTCAAAATCATTTGGGGAAAAAAAAAGGGGGGGGGGGCAGGTTTGCTGGTCTGACAGAGCCTGGTGGAACCACTGAGACTATGGCCCCTAGCTGCCCTTCAGGTCTGGAATTGAACCCACCTCTCTGGCTTCCAACCAAACAATAGACAGGCATATGAGTTGAATATCTGCCTGGGGTAGATACACTCCTTGGAGAGAACAAGCATGGGAGAAAAAGGGGCTGCTTATACACAGAGAGAAAGCTGAGGGGGCAGGAGTACATGGAGGGATGGACACAGGGAAGAGGTAACTATTGGGAGGAAGTGGGAGGGGAGATGTTGCACTGTGGTAAATTGTGATCAATGTCATGAGACAAAGTGTATGTGAACTGCTGTATGGAAGGTGTGTTTGCTCTGTAAATTTCCACCCAAATCACAATAAATAAATAAATAAATAATTGGCTTTGGACAATGGAGTTAACTCCAAAAATCAACCCGTACAAAACTAAAGATTTCTCCAGTTTCTTCAGAGAGGTTGTAGAAAATAACCCCTGGGAACTCTGCTAATGCCTCCATGCAGAAACCCAACAACTGTGCAGGGATCTAAATGGCCACAAACCCACAAGAACAGAGAGAATATGAGGGCAGGTGATGGCAACAAAAGTTCATGAGCTGGATGGTGGTAACTGCGTTAGTGGATTCCAAAATGCTAAATTCAAAGCTGGTGAAATGGTAAGCAAGAAACAAAATTATAAGGCAGAACTCCCAAGCGAGTCAGATACTAATGGAACTAGGTTTCTCTGAAACCAGGTGAGGGCAAAGTAGGGCTAAAACAAGGCTGTAGTAGAAAGTGATTACAATCAGAATACCCTGCGCCATGGTGTAAGTCTAGAGATTTTTTGCTGCAGCAAGGAAAACAGTCTCTTGACTGGAGGGGGGAGGAATGGACATAGTTGAAATTGGTAAAACGGCTGAAATGGAGAACAAAGTTTACTTGCTAACTGTTATGCTCCCTACCCCTACCTTCCTCCTAAAATCAGCCCCTGAACTCTGGCAGCCAGCTTATGCACTGCAGGTAGGAAGATGGAAAGTTCATCTTAGGGGTATATGACTAGTCCAAGGGAAAAAGATCTTAAGATACACAAGGGATTCTCCAATAAAAGCCAGACCAGATCATCCTTCAGTGAGGCCTACAGTCAATACACCAGGCCTACAACATGTGCAGAAAGATTTTAAACCTCTTTAGTGCTTTACTTTTAAATTAATAAATAGCTAAGAGTTATAGACTTTTGAAAAAATACTCCAGAAATAAAGATTGAGGACAAAGTAAGTAATAGCAAAGGGGGGGGGGAGCAACTTGTAAGATATAATAGGGTGCTGGAAGAAGAAAACTTTTTTTCTTTTTTTTTAAATTATCATAAATAACCTCAGGGGGGGGAAAAAAAAGGCTGCATTCATGAAAAAAGAATGGTGCCATAGAAAAATGGAGACCACAATACTCTCATTGCCGTCAAGTCAGATCCGATTCATAATGACCTTTCCTTGGATTTCCGAGGGATTCAACACTATGGAAGGAGATTGCCCAATCTTACTTCTGAGAAGTGGCTGGTGGGTTTGAACCACCAGCCTTTTGGTTAGCAGTCTACCAGAGCTCCTCAAGACCACAATAGCTCTCAAAAGATGTAGTAAAATGAAAAACCAATACTTAACAGAAGGGTTGAAAGAAAAGGTGAAAATTCCTCCCAGAATTTAAACCAACAAAAAAAAAAGAGAGAGGAGAATAGAAGAAAATATATTAACAAAGTCAGAGAACCAGTTCAGGAGGTCCAAGATAAAAGATAAAAGTAATAGTTCTAGAAAGGGAACAATAAAAATGGCAAGAAAAAATTAGCAAAGAAGTAAGCCCCCCATCCTTGGAAGGATGGACAATCTACTTCCATAGTGATACTGCCTCAGAAACCCAAGGAGAGGTCGCTATGAGTCGGGTCCAACTCAAAAGCAAAAAACAACAACTGCAGGGTATGAGTTTCAAGATTGAAAGGGCCCACTGAATACCTAGCATAATCAATGAAGTATCACATCATCACAACTGGCAGAAAGTTTGAGGATGAATTAGTGAGAAGCACATAAAAAACAAGAAAGTAAACCAAACAATTCATTTAACTCCAGAGAAAATATTTTTTAAGAAGCTGTATAGCAGAAAAAGTAAAGTATACCTCATGGCTCATTAGTAAATACTATTTATATAAACAGTGAGTGTTGTTCTAAACAAAAATAATATACA